CTAGACTATCTGATCAAATGGTTGAGAAAAATACTTCATTTTGTATTAAAATGAAAATTGCATTTCTAGTTTCCTGTTTCCCCATGCTTAGCACATTTGTAATGAGAATAATACTCCCTCCTTCTCACTAAAGACGTTTTCTTTTAGATTGTTTTGACTCCTTAGCCAGATCAGACCAGACCAGGTCAAAGTTAAACAGACTAGACTAGACCAGACTTCCATAGTGATAAAATACACAGAGATCATACGTTTACCAAACCAGACTAGACTAGACTAGACCAACAAATTCCTGTACAAAAGAAAACATCCTAAGATTGTCGACCTATACCAAATTTGGTCTCATCTTTCCTTTTCGATCCGTCCCACTAAGATTGTCTCATATCGAATTCGATAAAATTATTGTGGTTCTAAATCATTTTGACTTTCACTACTACATTTAAAGGCTTTTTGTAACACTCAAATTTGTTACTTTTGGTCCAAAAGTGTGTTACATTCTATTAAATGTAACAGTTTCTTGGGGTTACATTCGCTGGCGTTGCCTTTTCTCTATTGTAACGGTATGTAACGATTTTTAGAGTCAATTGTAACGCTTATCTAAACTAACCAGAAGTGTTACCACAACCATTATCACAAAGGTAACAATTTTTTACTTGGGCAAATGTAACACTTTATACAAAAATGTAACAAATGTTAGAATTATCATGCTATATTGTCGTATAACTTTAATAATGTGCACACAATTTAAGAATACTAATAAAAAAATACATATCATTAATAAATATCTCGTTTTATACATTTTTAGTACATAAGTACATTGCACAAATCAATCTATCAAGTCTAACATTTCATATTAACTACAAAGATACATATATCATAGAAAATTCTAAATCCTAAGTCCTAACAAACTGCTGATCATTAGAGGCATCCATGTAAAGCAAGATCATCCATGATCAGGTGTTATTCTTCCCTCTTCATATGAATGGTTTCCTAATCTGTAAAACAAATATTTCAAAATATTAGCAACCATAGCAAATAATTATTTGGATTGAAAAGCTTTTTATGACACTTTTACAAACACATCATATACAAAACCAACATTAACAATTTACAAACATATTTTAGGAAAATCAATAAGAGATCCCATTGAAGTGTAGCAACCCTAAGGAATTGCCTCAGATTGAAAACAAGAAATCTGATTCATGGTGGAACACAAACAAACACCGTTAGTAACATTATTAATACTCCGTATTAACTTCTTCAGAGGATTTGCACCCTTACCTGGAGAATATTTGTTGCTGAGCAGGAGTATCCCATAAAGCACTTATAAGACGAATAGAAAAATCCTCCATGAGTCCATTCTCGGCTCTTGGGACATACTCCGTATATTAGGATACCATATTTCTTCACGTGCCCGGTGAATAAGCTCTGTAAGAGCAATACTCTTTCCACAGATAACCAGGCCATCTAATACAATATGTTTTTTAGGTTTGGAACCTGTAAGAATACCAGATCTGTCTTTTCTAACAATGAATCATGAATTTCAGTGAAAAAATACAAATATGCCCTGAACTGTTAACTACATCCCTACCTGAGAGGAAAATGTAGAAACAACTTCATGAAAGAGTAAAACCTACAAAAAAGATCATGACAATGAATGTGATGTTAAGTACATAAGTATAATGTCTCTTGAGGACAGAAGGAAGATCAATGGTACTATTTCTGCACCTGCATTTTCATGTCATTTTCTGCAACCCAAATGCAATCAGAGAGTCTTAGGTGATGTAGTTTGAAAGCTTCTGAAACCCCTTTTGGGGAAAGTCAAGGTTAGGTATGTTTTTTTAATTTAAAGAAAAATATACGTAGTATAAATAAAAACATAAGACTATAAGAGAATAAGAAACTATGTCTATATTGTTAACATACTAAAATGACATATGGACATAATGAGACTTGAAAGTAGTTAGTTAAAAAGAAAATAATTAGGTAAACCGTAACTATTTTTAAATTATAGTACAAATGAAAATAGTTAACTCTATTTGGAAAGTATCACTTCAAAAGACTTGGTTAAAAGATTTAAAAGTTAGAACTAATTTTCCTTGTTTTAAAAGTTAGACTTGATAACAAATGAGCTAGAACACTAGTTTTCTTGTTTGAAAAAAAAAACATATTAAGGCACTACAATACTACACTCTATGTTCAAAACGATGTGCCTGCAACTTCAATTTTTAAACCATCAAACAACAAGTAGTTCATAGTTTGAGCATTGCAAAACACTGTATTATTTGGGCAACAGCTCATACAACACTCCAACTCAGGACATGAAGCACACACAAGAAGTCTATGACTACTTGTATATATTTCAGCAAACGTCACCAACATTATTGAAAATATACTTAATCAGCTTCACCGACATCAAACTAGATAGAAAGAAGAGGAAACAAAATATACATTTAATATTTTTATTGAGACATTTTCACATACAGTTGATACGCATTAGAAAACTAGAAACTTAGAAATCACATTCTTCAAGCTTCATCATAAAATTAGTGCCACTATACAAATCCCATAGAAAATATACATGAATCGAATAGGAATAGGAAAAATAAATAGATATCGTGAAGAAATTACCTGTTGGAAAAAGAGACTTAGGCGAAGGAGATTGAACGCCAAAATTGTGAAAAACGCTGGAGCTATGAAAACCGCCAGATCTGCGTCGTATAGAAGCTTTATATGGGAAAGGAGATGGAACACTGAAAGCACCGGAGGTGTGAGAATCGCAGGAGCTATGAAAACCGCCGGAGATGGGTCGTCGAGAAGCTTGTTCAGGCGAAGGAGTGGAACGACGAACGCGAGGAAACCCCAGAGACCTGAAAACGAAGGAGATGCTTCTTGTGTCGCTGTAGAAGAGCTCTCTCGCGTCGTAGCTTAGATCTGGAATTGCTTCGATTCAGGGTCGTTTCAAAACCCTTTTTGTTCAGCTGCTAGGGCTATTTATCTTTCTTTGATTTGCAAATTTTCAGTAACCAACCATTTTGTATTTTTGTATGGGGGCGTTTTATTTTAATTTGATGAAAAGTTGGCAGAAACTTTAACTTTGGGGAATCGATTGCCGAGTTTATGTCTCATGATACGTAAGTGTTGCATTAGATTTTTTCAAATGTAACACTTGGTTAAACTACGGTAACGATATATTTAAATTGATAAAAGTGTTACATTAGGGTCATACATAGTAAAACAACTGTAACAACATACCTAAAACTGTTACAATACACCTGCTTTTTGTAACACTTTAAGAAATTGTTGCAAATTTATCGTTACATTAGACTCTAAAATGTAGTAGTGTTTATCAATTCAATATCACCACACAGACTCACTTTTCTTAATAACCACATCACTCATTTACCATCACGCATGCTCCAATGTTAGTGGGATGGTTTAATTAGTATAAAGAAAGAGGATATTACCGTTAATTAGTTGTAAAAATGGGTAGTGATTGTTGGGATCGACTTGGGCATGCAGGAATGGTTTGCAACAAAGAAAGAACTCATGGCAGGATGGGGTCGCTGGCACAAACTGCCCTATCCCTCCCGGAATGAATTTCACATATACCATGCAAGCTAAGGATCAGATCGGAAGCTACTTCTATTTCCCATCCCTTGATATGCACAGGGCCGCCGGAGGGTATGGGTCCATCAAGATAGCTAGCCGTCCACAGATTCCGGTCCCCTTCGCCCCACCGGCCGACGATTACAGCTTACTCGTGGGCGATTGGTTCAATTTAAACCACACTGTGAGTTTAGATCACAAGTAAATTGACCTGTCTTAAGTCATTTTTATTATATGTACTGTCTCGGTATTGCATTAGTTGCAACAATGCAAATTACACACTATTCATGTACTCTACTTTGACTACATTTTATTTATTAATGTATTTGAATTGATTTGTTTTTAAAATATTGTTAAATTCGTCTCATCAAAAAGTTTCATAATCCGATTTTTAATTATTTTTTACTAATACATAATTAAATATAATAACGATCAAAGTTGTGCGTTGGCAAACATGAAAAAGTGAATGTTGCAACTAAAAAAGAACGGAGGAATTATATATCAACTCTAATTATTTCATTTTTTGACCCACGCACAGTTATTAGTTATACTCTAGGTCTAGATGAGAAAACTGATAAATGACTATTCTGATAAAAAAAAAAGTTTAGTATTGAAGTATTCTTTTACTTTAACTTTAAAATGAAGAAAATCCACACCACAACTACTTTTAATGTTTACCCAGTGGCACCAGTCAAAATTGCGGCAAAAAATGATACTCATTTCTATTGGAATTTCACACATGCTACTCTGTAATTCCTCTCCGTGTAACTTTTATTTTCTGACAAATCTCGCCTCTAATTTCATGTACACCGATGAGGTGTAGGGGTGCAAATGAGCCGAGCTCGAATATGGGTATGTTTGAATTTGATAAATATTCACGAGCTCGAGTTCGAGCTAGGACGAGGTAAATAATTCGGGTTCGAACTCGAGCCGAGCTCAACTCGAGCTCGGTTCGAGCTCGGATCAAATTTTGCTAATTAATTTTTATATGTTTGAGCTCAAATAAGTTGCTCGAACTTGTGCTCGAATTTGAAGTAAAAATAAAATTTATACGATCCAAATTATTAATATCACATTTAGACATACCGAAAAATTAATAAGATATTGTTTGTACTTGATCGTTCTCCTTCTTTAGTTTCTTTCTACTTCATTGTATTTATTATTCTGCTATTAATAAATATTACAGATTATAATAATTACAGATTATGGTTCTAATAATCTATAATAATTATTATAGAAGAGCCCTATACGAAGTATTAGAATACATAATCCAAATATTATATATGAATATGTACACACACAAAGGCTCGTGAACCCGCTCGCAAGTCACGAGCCTAATAAAATGAATAGGCTTCAATTCAAATAGGTTTGAATTAAGCCAAAATAAATAGCCACGAGCCACAAACCACAAGCCGACGAACTCGAGTTGAACTTGTATATGACGAACTCGAGTTGAATTTTTCCCGAGCGATTCACGAGCAGCTCGCGAATGGTTTGCCTCATTTTACACCCCTAATGATGTGCATAAACAATTATTGGGTTGCAAGCCTGCATATGTGGAATCCAGGCATAGATACAAGATGTTTTTCTTACAATTTTTAGTGGTACGCTGGATAAATATTTGTTCTAATTTGCATCAAAGAGTCAAAGTACCAAAACTCAACAATAGCAAATTTAGGGTCGTCTCAAGTTTCCTATGATTTGCAGGAGCTAAAAGCAAGGTTGGACAGTGCGAAAAAGGTTGGGGATATCCCGTCCCCAGATGGAATGTTAATCAACGGTCATGGATCAAACAATTTAAGCTTCACAGTTGAGGCGGGGAAGACATACAGGTTTAGGATATGTAATGTTGGATCAGCAACTTCCATCAGTTTCAGAATCCAGAGTCATGATCTATTACTAGTTGAAGCTGAGGGAACACACACAATGCAGAATAGCTATGAGTTCCTGCATATCCATGTAGGCCAATCATACTCTGTATTGGTCACAGCAAATCAAACTGCAGCGGACTACCTTATTCTCATCTCTACCCTATTCACGCCTAACGTCCTTAATGCAACATCCACTCTTCATTACAACAACAACATGGCTAAACCCGCCCCGGCTCCTCCCCTTGCTCTACTTAATGACTCCATCAATCCGTCTCTCAATCAAGCTCGAACCATCAAGTAATTAACCTGCCTCAAATCTAAAACTTATCTTTTCATCCCATTTGTCTCATTGCATATTCGATCATATTTAGTGCATGTTTGGTAAACGTAAGAATGTTTTCTTTTGGACTGAAATTTGCTAGTCTGATTCGAACTAGTCTGATCTGGTGCTGTCTGGTCTGATAAATATTTGGCCTCTGTGTACATCTAGTTTTTTATTATTTTAACAACATCTTTTTACTTGTAGTATTTTGTCACACCACCTTCAGAGTCTTTTTCAAATAAAAGATCTTATTTTGAGAAAATACACTAAGTAGCGTCTGAAGAAAAGTTTACATCTTTTAACATTAATTAATCGCGATAATTTGTTATACCAAACAGAACTAAATCAAAATGTCAGTTTTTTTAATATCAAAAACCTGAGAAAAAAGAACGGCCTTTTTACTTGCGTGCTTGGTAGCCATAATTCTCTAACTTCTAGTTTTGTACTACGTATTACTTAAAGAGTCTCTAAAAGCTTCTGGTTTATGCTTGGCACCAAGATTTTTTAAAAGTTTTTTTCTTCAAAACAAAAGATCATTTTTAAGAAGTTACATTGAGTAGCATCTGAAGAAAGTCTGTGACTTTTAACATTAATTCGTCAGAACAACTTGATGCATATCAAACATAAATAAATCAAACACCTCCTAAAGTCTTTTCCAATTGTAAAAACCAACAATTATTAAAAAAACTCATAAAAATAATTTTAGCGCTAATTGTATCAAATATACTCTTAACTATCCAAAGTCAACTTATTAGTATATGTTCAGTACCTTAATTAATGGTAGTGGGGCATTAAATAATCATTGGACGGCTATTTCTTATATACATAGCGAGTTAAATTCAATTCATTATGCTACTATCATACTCGTAGTTTTTTGAGGTGTATCCGTTATTGGTCATGAAATTTTTAGTTACTTGCAATTGGTCCAACAATTAAGAATTTTTAATTTCCTACCAAAAGTACATTTTCAGATTTAAATTACCAGAAAAGTTACTACTTGAAATTGTAGTTTCTGATGGAAGTCCCTGATTTGAATAAATTTAGAGGATGAAACCTGCAAATAATTGTTGTTGTTAATGGATTGATTTGCAGGCAAAACTTGACAGCGAGTGGGCCGAGGCCCAATCCGCAAGGCTCTTATCATTATGGACGGGTGAACGTCTCGCGTACAATTATATTGAAAAACTCAGCTCCGATCATCAAGGGACGTCAACGATATGCTGTGAACAGCGTTTCGTTCATTCCAGCAGATACACCGCTTAAACTTGCAGACTACTTCCAAATCGCCGGAGTTTTCACCGCCGGCAGCATCATTGACAACGCCACCGGAGAGACTCCTCTACTTAACATTTCTGTCGTGGCGGCGAGTTTTAGGTCATTCGTTGAGGTTGTCTTTGTGAATGAGGAAGACACCATACAGTCGTGGCACTTGGATGGCCAAATCTACTTTGTTGTCGGGTATAGTATCACTTTCCACTAATTTATTTCATGAATAGATTTCAGTCTTATATACAGCAACCCTCTAATCCATGTGTGTTTGGCCCACCCTGAATATAATTAAATACCTTATGCATGTTGAAGTATTTATCCCACACCAGAAAGCTTCAAAACAATAAAATACTATGTAAGACTTTGAATTACTCCTCCTATACCTTTTAGGATGGAACCCCGGGTCTTAAAATGGTATCAGAGCCAAGTCCGGTTGTGGTTTGAAAACTTGTTTAGCACCCATGATTAAGGGTAGCTTGTTAAGGTCTGTTTGGCCCATTTATACACCCCGATATTGTTCAGCCCGAACCGGGCTGAGGGGGCGTGTTGAAGTATTTATCCCACACCGGAAAGCTTCAAAACAATAAAACACTATATAAGACTTTGGGTTACTCCTCCTATCAGGTTGACCTTTTAGGATGGAACTCCAGGTCTTAACACCTTAAAAATTAAGGGAGTTCTATAGTGCACCCTTTAATTTGATTGTACCATAGGGAACCAATAATATTATACCACATGGAAAATAATTAAAATATATAGTGATATAATGTTCATGTGGGATTGTTTTATTTGTCTACATAAGAAAGTGTACCATACATGCAAAATTTAGAGGTGCACCATAGAGTTTGTTTTATACTACCTCCGTTGAGTTTGCAATGTTTGACAGGTCATAAGTGACCCTTGTTAATACGCAATAAAAATATTTTTATTAAATAAAATTTACATATTCAGAAATTACATTAAAATTCTTGTAAGGTCACAAAAAACTCAAATTTGGTGAAAGATGGATATATAAAGTAAGAGATTAAGAACAATATACATTAATTTTAAACTTTTATTTTATTTTATTAATTAAATGTATTTTAGATACGAAGTATAATATTTCCATAATTTAGCACAATTAGCAAATTTTGCCAGTTCAGTCAAAATTTCACAATTTCAGTAGTTTTAACCGATCCTGTCAATTGCAATGTTACCTAACAAGGCCTCAATACGTACTATTTGACTTGACTTCAATGGATGCCACTTATGAGAAAGTGAGCTTTCAATTCATGGGTGTTTTTTTAGTGGTCGGCGAATCATATGCAATTTAGTTCGAGTTTGATAGTATGTCTTCCAAATTGAATTAAATCTAACTAAAAGAATTCGAAACTGTGAAAAATCGAATATATAAGGTCGAGCCGAACTCAAATAGTTAATAAATTTTTAATATATTTTTAAAAATAAAAAATCAAAACCAAAACGAATCGAATAAGTATGAACCGAACTAAAATATAGTATGGTTTTTGTTTGGTGATCGTGCTTCCAATCCGTTTCAAACAGAATCAAACCAATATTAAAACTGATAAAAACTGTTTTGAACCCGCTATGCCCACCCCTAGTATTTATATACTTCGTATATAGATTTGTTACTCAATGAGTTTTATTTTACAAGAGAAATGTTTCTTTTTAGACTACAAAAAATATGTTTTTTTTTAAAATTGAAAAAACTAAGTTGTTACTTTTCTATTTTATTCTTTTATCTACATTTTTATCCACTTAAATTTTGTAAACTCAGGCTACTTTTTCTTATCCATTGAATCTATAAGGGATTTTTTAAAATAAAAAACTACATGCGGACATGCCACTATTAATATAATATACAAACTTCCGAACTTGGTATATTTGAATAGGATGGATACGGCCGGAGAGTGGAAAAACGCAAGCAGATTAACTTACAACTTGGTAGATGGAATTTCTCGTAGCACAGTTCAGGTTTATCCAAAAGGGTGGACTGCCATTTACATGCCATTGGACAATATGGGAATGTGGAATGTAAGGTCTGCGAACTGGGGGCGACAATACTTGGGTCAACAGTTCTATCTCCAGGTGGGGCCCTCCACGGGTTCTCTGAGGGATGAATATAGCATTCCACGTCACGCCCTTCTCTGTGGTAAAGCGGCCAATGAAACCATATCTTAGCTTATTAAACTCAAGTGTCAAATATATGTTGACCCATTGTACTCTTTGGAAATGCTTGTAACTTTCATAAAAGATACTCTCAAATCACAATTACTCGATCACAGATGTTTGGACTTAATTTGGAGTGTTAAGTGTTTTTAATTTCTGCAGTTAATTATATGTACTTCTGAGTTCAGATTTAATCTCTCTGCATGTGTAATACTAGGGGCGGATCCAGGAATGAAGAGTGAGGTGAGCTAAGTAGTAAAAAAAATGTTATAGCGCACAAAAGGTTTAGTCTCGGGTTGTCATCAAACGAGGTTTTTTCGAATTGCTCGAGTTCAAGCAAGATTTCGAATTTATTTTGACGACCCGAGCTTAACGTGCCTTGAGCTGAACACAAACTAGATTTTGAGTTCAAATAGTTATTCAAGTTGAGTTTGAGCATAGTGGTATTCGGTTCGATCTGGACTCGACCCGTTGATAACTCATAAATTATAGGAATAAATTTTATTTATCTTGAAATTTAAACATTTTTTGTGCAACTTTATGAATCTATTTAAACACTAAAAATGATAATTAATAAATCTATTTTATTCAAGCCAAATTTGAGCATAAATGAATGAACACTATTCTACTAAAAAATTCAATTAATAATCAAACAGAATTATAAAACTAAAAAACTAATACACAACATAATAGATTAAAAGAGTATTTAGTATATGTGGACGACTGGACAACTAGACTCTGCTAGAGGTGGCTAGTTGGACTCGAATAGACTAGAGAGTAGGGGACTAGGGGCGGAGCTAGGACATTGGGCCTGAGTGGGCGGTATAAAGATTTTTTTTGAATTTGTTTACACGGAATTTTTTGACTGAAAATATAGACATTTTTAAATTTTAGGGTGGGGCAGGGCCGGCCCTCCCCTATCTACGTCCCTGCTAGAGAGGTAGAGAAGCAACGAGCTATAGGCTGGAGTGCATGACTCCAGAGGGACACCGATGGCCGACGTAGGGCCCGAGACGGCAGGTGGCAATGCGGTTGGGCACTTGTGCTCGTGACTTCGTGTCTTCGTCGCTTGACTGAGTTGAGTGCTTCCGACTTCAGCTTCGTGCTTCTTATAGTCGCTTTATAACAAAAGTATATATACTTCTAGAGCTCTAAAGATCATGAATAGTAGTTCTAACTATGCTCGTTTTAAAAAATGAACCAGATAACCAAAAGGCATAATAACATAAATAATATATGACCAAATAAGGATAGTGTATAAAAAGTGACTTAGTTATTTCAATGATTATAATTATGTTTAAATTCTACAATTAGAATGCTTATAAAAGTTACTCATAGTGCCTTGGGTAAAACAAATATCTTAACTTAATCTTAATAATATTTTAAGAAAAACTCATGATAATAATAGAAGTAATAATTTTTTTGCATGCTCTAATCTTAAACCGAGAACACTTAATTTACATAACTTAATCTTAATAATAATTTAGGAAAAACTCATGATAATAATAGAAGTAATAATTTTTTTGCATGCTCTAATCTTAAACCGAGAACACTTAATTTACATGCTCCCAAGTCCCAACCTAGCTATATACTCCGTCCCAACCTTTTGTACATGGCTGCTGGCTAGCTCCCAAGTCCCAACCTAGCTAGACACTCCGTATAAATGTATAATACTATGTATGTAAAGATTTCCTATTCTCAAATATTCCCACACCGGCTGCATATGATAGTTTAGAATTCTGATTGCCCTATAAGTAATTCGCTCCTTGCTGGTATTGGTGTAGGCAAAGACTAGTAGAGTCGGATCTGGCCCATGGCCAGGGTGGGCCTAGGCCCATGCTCAAAAAATATAATTATTAGTATATATATATACTATGTATATATTAATATATAGTGTTTTAGTAGTCGTCATGATATAAAAAAGCCAATGTCAATTTTTGAACATTAGTCAAGTTGGTCCAATGGAAGCATATTAATTATGCAATAAAAGGGGTCAGGTTCGAGTCCCCTGGGCACCATATTTATAAATTTTCAATGCAACATGAGTAAATTTTTTGATACACTTCCAAATTGTTGGGCTTTTGGTAACTGGTACGCAAAATTAGTTCAAATCATTTGGCTTTTGAATATTAGCTTGAAAAATTATTTAATTCGATTCATTAGAATTTCAAATATTAGTCTAAAAAAATTAATTAGTTCACATCATTGGACAATTGAATATTGATTTGAAAAATTAAAAAGTTCAATTCATTCTGCTTGGTAGGTGAAATTTAATTAGTTTACTTTTTTTTACATAGAGCATAGACTATGGAGTCAAAAGAAAATTGAATTTCCAGAAATCAATTTGAAAATTGGTATTGAACATGTCATTAACTGACGCGAGCCAATTTCGGTTAGATATCTCTGGCTCTTTTAAGATAATTAAATTTTCGGTTTTGTATAACTATTATTTTTTCTTTGACACTTCTGCAAAATTATATAACTAAATCTTGTAATTTGAACATTTTTGCAAAATAAATTATGTATCGCTAATTAAAATTTGGCCCCACCTCAACACAAATGCTAGATCCGTCATTGGTAGAGTAGCCATATGTCCGAAGTTCACTGTGACTATTGTTTGTCAAATTGTCATTGCTACGAGCTTTTAAATGTTTGGTCTGCCTTTTAAAGCTTCACAGACCACTTTCTAGTCATCTAGTGGGCTTGGGGTGGGCTTAACAATCATTAGCTGTGGGCTGAAAAGTAAATCCATTACTATACTAATAAAAAATAATTACGTTGTGCTGGGCTGAAAATTAAACATTACAGTAATACCAAGTACTTCACAATTCACATAATACCTCTCTTAAATAAATGCAACATGTCGAATATTACACTAGTTACACTATTCACATGTTCTACTTTATTTATTAATATATTGTAAATTTTCATAATCTAATTTTTTTAATTTTTTTTACTAATACAGAATTATATATATTAATGGTCAAAGTTGTGTCTCAACAAATGTGAAATGTTGACTGTTGCAATTATTTAAGAACAGAGGAAGTATTTATTATAAATAATAATGCACGCTATACTAATGGTGAATGTGCAGTGTGCTGGCTATGGTATATATAGGTAATATAGCTAGTTTATTTTAATTTCAAAATAAAAAACAACATTGCTTCAGTTCTCGTGCAAAATATCGTGTTATATTGCTATTATTTATACCTATCGAAGTTTCATGTTGTTTAGAGATAAATAAAGTTATTTCTAAAATCTAAAAAAATTATAAGCACCAATGATGGTTATGACATTTTAGGAATAATAAAAATGTTGATGTAACACTAAAGCAAGTTACACTTGTACAATTTGTTTTAATCTATGTACCATTCATCATTAACTCTATAACATCTCCTTAGCTCTGTTAAATTCCAACGTCAGTTTCTAACATTCCAACGGCAGTTTCTATTCATTCGCTTGCTTTAGTTTGCATTCAATGTTTTTTTTTTTAATTTTGCATTTTTAATTTTTCTTGAAAGGCCTAAGTTGTAGATGATAAAAAAACAATTTCATGTAAATCTTACGTAGTTACGTTTACTCTTTGGAATGAAGCCATCTGACACAGTTGTACGTTATTCTTTTCATACTCGGTATTAATATTTTTTTGTTTATTGCTTACCGTACAATTATTTCATGGGATAATGGACAAGAATAATCCCAATTACGAGTGATCTATTTGAAATAATCCAAAGTATCAAATATCTTAAAATAATTCCGACTATTGAAAATTTTCTCAAAACACTCGGGTGACTTATAATTATCTGTAAATAACTTATACTCCATAATATTTATGAGTAAGTGGAGTATTTTGAGAAGATTTTTCAATAGTTAGGATTATTTTGATATAATTGATACTTTGGATTATTTCAAACAGATCACTGTTAGTTGGGATTATTTTTGTCCATTTTTCCTTATTTCATTTAGATCAGATCAGAAAATTTTGGATTATATCTGATTAGATCAAAAAATTTGTTTTCACATCACAAAGATCAAGACCGTATGAGATCAGAAAAGGTACATACCGAATTGCAAAATTTCATACATGATTTATTATTGTTACTATACTAATTATTGTTATTATAATCAATATTTTTTTTATTATCAATATTAAGAAAAGTGAGTTAATGTTCTTCATATTCAATTTATATATAGAGTAAGAATAAAGTACTACATATAATAAAATAGAACCATACAAACTTTATCAAATTTAGTATGCGATAATGTTAGTGGGACAGAGTGAGAAGGAAATATAGAACAATCTTAGCAGAAACAGAGGGAGTACTTGGGGTCGAGTTGGAGGTGGCGGTAGTGGTGATCTAACATCTCATGTTCATAGTAATTCTATTTTTATACACATAGACGTATAACAATATACGAAGTGCGAGATAAGAATCGTGTCTCCATATGTCCGTATTGACATTTCCATTTCACATTTGTGCCTCAGCAATAGAGGTAACACAGAGAAAAGTATACATCAGTTCAAATTAACCATTTTGTGCCATTCAATTTGTTAGACTAAGGATGTTTTTAATTGAGCCTAAATCAATTCAAATTAACCGCTTATTGTGTCATTCAATTTGCTAGAGAAGATTATTATTAATTTTTTATCAAGAAGAAGATTGTTATTAAGAGCCTCTTTGGATGAATGAGGTGAAGTTGGTATTCATATATATTGCAAAAGCTCGTCCCCCTCCGGAACCACCTTCATACCAGGAAGAGCTTTGTGGAAAGATTTTATTTTCAGTATTACTTTCTCTTTAGTAGCAATTGTTTCTGTTTTAGTCCGAGTGAATTTGGTTTGAATGTTTGGATTTTTGGATTTCTTTTGATAGGCAGAGTTTCGGTTCTTGTCGTTTTAGGCCTAAATTTGCCTGTTTCAGGTTTAGCGAGTCATGTTGCTTTGCATGAGGTGACTGACTCTAAGTTTACTCATAGGGTTCACAATTGGATTTGTAAACTCTGTCTGAAGATTGTCTTGTATGTTTCTCGATTTTAATATAACGGCCGCTGTTTTATGATAAAAAAACTTATCTGCCTTATGAATAAACTTTTCACTCAACACGTAACTTTTTGTTTGACGTGTCGAATTGTATAATAATCGAAATAAGTAAGGTTATAGTTACCTTTCTGGCAGAATT